CTATGCTTTCCACAACTACTGTAACCACTTAAAAATATGATGTTGGTATTGCATGATGCTATGAGAAGTATGACTTTATAAGACTATTGTGCTTTCTGCCACCTCACGTAATGCATAGTTCAACCAGATTACACGACCAGAGAAAAGGCTTTGCAGAAAAAACGATTTCATTTTTTTCAATGTAATTTCCCATAGACCACTAGTTAAATATATTTGTTTTCAAAAACTTTTATTTTGCAGTCCCATTCAGATTTTCTCATCTACTCAGCAGTCTACCCTATTTTGTTGATATCAGTTTCCATTAACTTTTCGTTCAAACATTATTAGTTTTTAAGCCACGTGATTGAAATAAATTTAATAAATTTATTTTTTGGCCAGTATTAAAAAAAAGAAGATAAATTAGTTTACTTTGAACAGGCCATGTTCTATTAGTTGAAAATGAAGCTGAAAATTAATCATGCAAAGCAATGCAAAACAAATCTGACAGTTGTCCATCAATGTATGATGAATGAAATTATAGACAACTTTATGAGGTGATATTCAGATCTTTTTCTTATAAAGGAAAAAAGTAATTTCTTTCCCCATTGTTTCCTGAACCTGGTAGCTCTCCCTTGACATCATCATTTATTACCTTCCTCATTGTTATGGTAATTAACTGGCATTATTGATAATGATGATTATCCGAGATGATTGAATTCCTCACAGGGCCTATTATGCTTTGTGAGCTCAGATATTTTATTCAAATGAATAACATAATCCGTGTAGTGAAAGGACAGAGGACAAAATGTGATGTCTGTCTGCACCCTGCTATCACATTTAATAGGACTGATGGGAGGGTGGGGGTGGGGATTGAATGTCAGTGATGAAGTAGCTGTTCATGCAGATTCATGCAACTCTGCACACACAGTTACAATACAGAACAGTTGTACATACACACACTGTCGCGTAGTGATGTTACATGAAAATGTCTTACTTCGGCTTAATTGTTTAGGGGAGATTTGCAAATGATTATGACAACAAGGCATGCATCTAACTAATCTGTGCAGTGAGAAACATTGAACATACAGCTGTAACCATAAGAGAGGCACGAGCAGACATCTCATCTTACTGCTTAAAAGTATATTTTAAGATATCTACAAAACCAACCAATTATTAAACAAAACGTTATAGACATGTAAACCATTTAATTACCAATTTTATAGATGATGTTAAAGCCAAAGCAAATCATCTAAAATTGCTATAAAAACTAGTTTACTCATCTACAGATATTTTTAAATAGTTGCAGGGATGAGGCCCAAGCTTTTCAGCCTGTAGCTCATGCGAAAGTTGCATTAACTGCTTGGAAGTGCTCGCAACAGCTTAGGCTCTGATGTTCAAAAATATACACCAAAGTTTGATATGTTTTGGAAAGTTGGAACCCTAATTTAGTGTTTGAAAAGCACACTTTCAATATTTATTTATTATTTGTCTTTTTAGAAAACTGCTCCAGTTTTCCTATCTTTTCTGTAAAATGGCATGTGCAAACTGTACGGGTCAAAAAGGGGTTACATGTTGTCAGTTACAATATTGGTTGTTGGTGTTGATGAGCATGCACCGTGGGCCAAATATAAAATGTTTCTCTGGAAATCTAAATCTGTCTAATGTGGGAATGGTGCTTTCTGTGATGTCTTCACTGTTTTGCTCTGGCCTCTTCAGTCTTTTTCAAAAATGTGTTTTCGTTTTAGTTTCTGTTTTGATGAGTGCAGAACAGCTTTATTTTTATTTTGTTCAATTTTTCACTTTTGTACTTGTTTTTGTAGAAGGTATTCAACAAGTTTTGTTGGCCATTTAAAAAATAAGAGGTTACAATTTTAAACAGAATGCCTCATGAAGCTCTCAGCCATTAAAAATCTGTATACAGTATATATCACTCTATTTCTGTTATTGAATGTTCAAGTTACTTTTAGAAATAAAAATTAAAAAAAAWTTGATATTGGAGAAATAACTTGTTTTTGTTTGTATGTGCAGACCTTCTCAGAAAAACATGATTTTTTTAAAGCAGTATCCAGGGGATTCAAGGGCTTCTGATACTGTGGTGCAATCAATCATAAGAATATAATCACTAAAAGGTGAATCAAATCTAAATTATCTTGTTACTTGATACATTATGTGGAAACAGAACCATCTGTACTCAAAGATGTTCATCATGACAATGCACTCTGCCTCACTGCAAAATTGTTTTAAGAGCAGTTTAAAAAAACTTCATTAACAAAATTGAAGAGTTGATTTGACCTCCAAATTCTACAGATCTCAAACTGGAGCATTTGTTGGATGTGCACAGCAAATCTAACTCATGGAGGTCCTGCCTTGCGTCTTACAAGATTTCAAAATGTGACATTTGTTAGTGTCAGAGACAGATACTGTGAGCTCTTAAAGAGACGATGCCTCAAGGTCCTGATGGTTGGAACCAAATCAGGAGACATTTTCAACATTTGCCTGTTAGTCGTAATATTATGGCTAAGTGGTGTATCAGTATCCATCATTCATGCTTGTTAACATATCACATTTGCTTTTAAGCAGCAGTCTGGCAAAAATAGTTATTAAAAAATGCATTGTTTGCACTTGCAAAATATGAATTTCAAAGTAAATTCAAAGCCTTTTCCTCCATCCTCGTCTCCCTCTTGTGATGCCACCTCTTTCTTTTTACAGGTTCATAGCCAGGCAAGATTGAGAACTCTCCCATATTTTACTAGGGGTACCACAGCAGGGGTCTAGCAAATTATCCCCAACACAAAATGGAATGTCTTTTTTTATAAAAGCTTTCTGCATTGACCCAGCTCATTTGAATATGAGTTATACTTCAGTGTAAACCAATTCAGCTTTTGCAGAAGTGTGTCTTTGAATGTCTTTGACCATCAGCTTTGCATAAACCATCGGCTCCCTTTTCCATCTTGTCTTGTGTTCTTTTCTTGCTGTAACTGTGTGCTAACATAAMAGAAATGGCAAAAATCATTGTTATACTAATGCAATTAATACAATTAATACATGCTCAAAATCATTGTTTCAATATGATTATGCTATGTTGCATAAAGGAAAGATGTGTAAGGCCTTAAAAAGGGAATTTCTAATTATAGCATGTTTTTTGAAATCCTGGCTTTATTAATGTAGTCATGACTGTATATCATTCCACTTTTTATGAACAATACATTTCAGAGAACACACAGTCATTTAATTATTCTAAAGTTGCAATTGCATGCAGTAGTTATGATTATAAAATGTCTGTAATGATTGTATTTTTTAAAATAAAACCCTATGTAACCTTGTTTAACTAATGTTAAATCAGGTAGATTTGTCAGAGAAACAATTTCCTTTTTGATTAGCAAACTAAAGATAATGTCTTTTGTTTAATAAAGCTGCAATTAACAGGATTTAAAAATATGCAGTGTCTTATTTATATATATTTTATTGTTGTCATTAAAATGTCCAGAATTGTTAGAACTATTTTTCCAGTTTCAGACACTAACACACAGCTCTTATAAAGTGAGGYGAATGTAGTAGCATGTTAATCTGATTTTAGATTTGGTTTAATCTGGTGGTAGACTGATGGAAATAATAACCATTGAATGTGTGCAGATGTGGACAGTTGGGACATCACAATGATGGAAGTGAGATTCTCTAAAATGCGGAGAAAGGAAGAATAAAAAAAAGGTTCTCGGTTTCTATAACTTTCTGCAATCAAAATGCAATTCCCCAGAAGCATGTTGCAGAGAGAGGAGCTCAGGCTCAGATTAGAATACATTTGCTGTGCTAACAGACACCTTCCCACTGTGAAACAAGTCCCACAGTTGCAGTAATGAAAATCGCTTCTGCTACCTGCCACTATTGACAGATAACAAGGTTAAACCCTGGGAATTGTGCTGACTGCAAGGGTTCAAGGTAGTTCTGCCACACAAATTTGACATCTGAAGACCAATGTTAATGGCGACAGATTGATTTTAGGAGAGTGAGACCTTGTACAGGTTCTGAGCTCACAGTAGCCAACCATCATATTGGGGTAAGGGTTTGTGAATCTATCAGTCAAGAACAGTGAAATGTTGCTCTTCACTGTCATTATCYGTATGATTACCAGAGTATTACCAGAGCTTTTATTTTCATTTTCGGAATTTGCAAGTTCTTTTCTTCTAAACGTCCGTTTCATTCATGTATTGACATTAAGATTTTCAAAAATGATGAAATTGCAGTGGCCAGACACAGACATTATCTTTAGTACACAACAAAAATTGAGTTTTCTTGTTGGCTTTTTATCAATTTTAGGCTTAAAGTGTGTGCTTTATTTGTGCGAAKAATTTTTGTGAAGTTACACAGACGCTAATGCTTTAACATGTAATATTCTGGCCTACTAATGATTGTGCTGTTTGTGTCTTTTTGTACATTAACCTTCTCCGCTGATCGCTGCATGCAGATAACTGGGAGCAAAGTTGCGGTAAGTAGTCTATTTTTTAATTTGGCTTCTAAATTTTTGTCCTTTATGTGTATTTGTCCTTCCACTTCAAACACTTTCACCCACCCACACACACACTTATGCAAACATACTTGTTAAGGCATTCTGTTGCAGAAAAAAGTTAAGAACCTTTTGAACTACTTGGTCAATGTCTTGGCTTATATCTTGGGTTTAAGTACGAGTTTTAATGAAAAAGAAGACAAATGTGCATGTAAATTGTGGCCCTTTGAGATGAGTGATTTTGAAATTATGCACCATGAAAATTACTTTTTATATCTTTCGCTAGTTTCTGCTGCTGCTCTTTCTCTTTTTTAATATATTCTTGTGTACCTGCTAATAGTATTTTAGTATCAAATGATCAATGATAAGTTTAACGATACAAATTTTATGTTTTCCTTTTTATCAACAGTTTGTTCATTTCAATGTTATTTAAGGGCGCTGAAACCATTTCTAAACCATTTATAATTATGATTTTTTTAATCTCCCACAGAATAAGACACACTCGTTGCATGCCTGTAGACACAATTCTCTGAAAGACTAGACAATAGTAAACACTTAAATTCTGTCTTGAAACAATTCTGTATCCTAGATTATATTGAATAAAAGAAGACATTCATATCATTTTTCTGTTTATCAACAACTGTTTAACAGAATTGAGATAGAGAAGGTTTCCAAACAAATTCTTGCTTTTGTTGTTGATGTAATTTTAATTAAACTAGTTCAGAAATGTTGAAAACATCTAAATGAAAGTTTGTTTTGTTGTCCGTATATCAATATTTCTTTTTATTACAGTGAAAAGCCACTAGCCACCGCCCACCCCCATGCTCTATTTAATCACAAAAGACACACTTAGTTTTGAAGAACTATTTCATCCCTTTTTTTTAATCCATAAAAAACTCATACAGTATTGGTATTTGACAAGTGTGGGATTACCACTTTAAATGGTGTCATTTTAAGTGGTCTTTCATTGCCTTTTGAGGACTTCACAAGGATTAAGAGGATTGTAAAGCCAAGCAGAAGAACACACAAGGTTAAGCAGTGCACTGTGACCTGGCCTCTGATCTGCCCATGCTCACAGACAAACCTCGCTCTTTCAGGCATTTTTACCGAGACATTTTATATTGATTGCATTTTTTTTTTTGCCTTTGTTAAACTGCTCTTTTGTGCTCGGTTCTTTCTGTGGGAGCGATGAGTTTATCAGCTTGGCTTGTGTGGATAGCAATAGAGTAGGTTTCAGCTGTAATGGCTACATTGTGCTCAGGAAATAGAAAGGACAAAATTACTTCAGCTTCGATCATGACCGCTCATCTTGGATGTGGAGACCTTGTTTTAGAATTTCTGCAAAACCATTTCAAATCTACAAGAGGTCCTGGTCATCAACAAGTTTCTTCCAACTCAAAGCTCACAAGTGTTTGGCATTTATAACCTGTAATAATTCTTTAGCAGTAGTAAATACATAGAGCCAGTAGACTTGACAGCTTTGAGCTGTCTTTTAAAATCCTCAGTGAATAAGAAGAAAACAAATGGCAAAATTCACTGTTAGGCTACATTCACACAACAGCTCTTAATGCTCAGTTCTGATTGTTTTGCTCAAATCTGGAATTTTTTGCGTGAATGTTTACAATATATTTTAAACGTGACCTCCATCAGACTTCAGTGTGAATTCTCTACAGCGTTGATGTGACCCACATGCGCAGAAGTAAATGTGGATGCTACATGCTAGCATGTCGATTCTGATGTTTTTGTGTAATCAGAGATGATTAAAAATTTATCTGACATGATTATTTTGTTCAGTGTTTACATTTGAACCTGACTGTGGTCAGCTGCTTCGGAGAAGCTTGTATTTTTGGAAAGGGAGCTAAGTGCTGAAAGTAAAAATAACTAAGTATTGATCCAGTAATTTAAGCTTTGATATGGTCCGAGATCAACGTTACTATCATATTTCTGTGGATTCTTAGTCATCTATGACATACATAAAAAATAAAAGAACAAAGACAAAGCAGCTGGACTGGTTCTATAGCTGAAGGTTGGTATAAATATTCTAAGTACTTGGATTGATCGGTTTACCACCACCTCGCTGATGTAAAAGTCAGGTGAAATGCGACTTGATTGTTCAGACTGTGGTCTCATTGAACAACACCAGATACTGTATGTATCCAAGTGAGTACCACATACTGGAAAAGCCTGGTTTGGATGTGTAAAACAAGTATTTACCATATTAACCCTCCTGTTGTCTTCGGGTCAAAATGACCCRCCACTGTGTTAAACACCCCCAAAAAATCCCCTAAATGTTATTTTTTTAACTTGAGGTTTTAAGACTTTGCCTAGATTGGCCAAAACAATAGAAAAAGTTAAATGTTGCTTTTATTCACATTTCCATGTAAGCTGTACAAAAAAAAGTACAAAGATGGTCTTCGGGTCAAAATGACCCGTGAGGCAAATAGAATCAAGGTCACAGAGTTATTTACAAACCACAAAATGTTACAAAGTTTTAGATGTGTCTCAGAT